GGGGGGGGGGGGGGGCTGCCCTTCCTGTGTGTGCGGGCGCGCGCGCGCTCACCCACAGACCCTGGTGGGGGCCCAGGTTCTCTCCGGCCCGTTGGCCAACCGGCCGGCCGGCCGGCCGGAAAAAAATCCTCCGCCCTCGATCCTGCACTGCAGGTGCGCGTACCGCGCGTGGGCCATGAGGCCACACGGGCAGCTGCGCAGCGCCCGCCCGGGCACGCCGCAGTTGTGCCCCCCCCCCCCCGGCAGGGGGATGGACCGCCTTGGACTTCGGGGCCTCCAGGGGACCTTGCGGTCTGGGCCGTGCCTCGCGGTCCGTCGGCCGTCCTGTAGTCAAGTCTCAGCTAGAGTGCCACCGGCGTCTGTCTTTCCCCGGGCGCTCGGCGCCCCAACTGTTCCCCCTGCCGGCCCCCGCGCCCCGGCGGTCTCGACCTTGGCAGAGCTTTCCGATCAGCCGGTCCCCGGCTCCGGCCGCCAACCCTCTCTCCGTTTAGAGCGCTGCGCCCCTCGTCTGACGCCGAGCTTATTGTTCTCCTTCGGGCGGCGTTCTCCTGGGCTCCGTTTCTCTTTCTCTTTGGCTGTCTCTCCTTTCCTCTTCTCCCCTCCCTCTGGCTCTCTCTGATTCTCTTTCTCTTTCTCTCTCTCTCTCTCTCTCTCTCTCTTTCTCTCTCTCTCTCTCTCTCTCTCTCTCTCTCTCTCGTTCTCTCGTTCTCTCGCGTTTCATTGCGATGGAGAGTTGGCATGGGTACTGGAAGGCGCCTGCCTCGATCATGGTCCTCACCGGCAACGGGCCGCCCGGCAGTCTTAGCGGAGGCGGGCCCTCGGTCGGTCAGGGCGGTCGGCCTCCCGACACACACCGACATCCGGCAAGTTCGCCCCGCCAGGGGGACAACTCTTCGCAGCGGGCCCGGCCTTCCGTCGCCCCTCCTCCCCCCACGCTGTCCCCCGGGGCCAGCAGCATCAGGAACCCGCTCGTCGCCTGCCCATCGGGCACTATCTTCCCCTTTGAGCAGGAGCAAGCTGCCTGGCGAGCGTCCTCGGCTCTCCGTGCCTGCCCCCGACCTCGCCCGGGTGCGGGCGTGCGTGCGCGTGGGGGGCGGAATCCGGCGACGGCGGCGCCGGCAGCGCCGGCAGCCCGGTGCCCGACCCGGCAGCAAAAAATCCCGCGATCACCCCGGACTCTGACGCGTACATCGCTGCGCCCAGATGGGCTCTCTGCACATAGCTGGGCCCACGCGCCGGGGCCGCCCATACCAGGGCCCCCGGCCGGTTTCGTTACCCCCCCCCCCCCATGTCCGCCGCGAGCCGGCGCCGGCCCGCCACCTCGACGCCTATGTCCGGGGCAGCTCGCCGCACGGCACGTTCACCCCAATTCCCCCCCCCCCCTCCCCCGCCGGCCGCCCGTTCCCCGAGGGCCCCCAGCCAGGTCATCTGCCGACTGTCCGGCTCTTTTCGTCGTCACCCTGGTCAGAGGAGGACTCCACCAGGCCCCCACTCCATACGACATAAAACAATACTCATACTGCCATCGAAGAGCCCTGTTTCATCTGCCCGCTTTCCGGCCCGCCGCCTGCGCCTGCCTTTTGCGCCTGGTTTTTGCAGCGGAGGCTCTTGCCCGGTGTTTGATGCCCCCCCCCCCCTCACACACCACCGGACCCCGCAACTGTTTGCCCCCTCCGGAACCACCCCCGCTCGGCTCAAGTGCGAGAGTCCCCTGCCCGGCCACTTGCGAACACACGCGCGCCTGCACGCGCAGACGCGTGCGTGTTGCCGGCCGCCGCATCAGCCCACCCCTTGCCCCCGCGCACCCCCCTTGCCCCGTCTTGCGCCACGGTTCCCCTGGGGCGGGGCAAAAGCAGGGGCGCTCCCCCGCCCCACCCGCCCCCAGGTGCCCACTCTCCTTTTTGGGGCTGCCCGCGAGTCCCCCCCCCCCCTGCCCCTTCTTCGGGCCTCAATATGAGACCTGGGCGTGTGTGTGTGTGTGTGTGTGTGTGTGTGTGCACCATCGGAACGCGCGTCTGCGCCTGCGCCCCCCCCCCCTCTCTTCCCCCTGCTCGCCCCAGCTGGGGGGTGGTCGATGATGGGACCTCAAGCGCAAGCGCCCGCCGCAGCGCCAGTGCTTAGAAAGACGCAAGCGGGGTCCAACGCCTTCCCCATGGGGGACGGGAAGGAAGGGAGGGGGGAATGCCCCCCCCCCTCCCAGCTCAACAACCCGGTCGTTGTGGGGCGGCAGGGGTCCAACCGTTGACGAGGGGAGGGCGAGGCCCACCGACTTTGGCCGTACCGGAGCCCCAGCACCCGAGGCCCATGTCACGCCCGCGCGTCATGTGCCCGCAAGACACGGCCCACCCCCATCTGATCACCCGATCGGCGTATGCGTTCTCGGGCTGCTCCTTTCGCCGCCCTCTTTTTTGCTCGCCCTCTCGCCCCCTCGCCCGATCGAGGAGCGGTTGGAATGATTTCGGACCGTACGCCGCCGGCTCCGACCGACACCCGCGTGGAGATAAAAATACATTTTCCGCCATTTCCCCCCTCCACGCTGTTTGCCGCACACACACACACACACACACACACACACATCCCCCCCCCTCTCCTTCCCCACCCTTTTTATGAGTTTCAAACATCCGCCGTCCCATGGACGGTCGGCCGAAGCCCTAGCACAGGATGCCCTCGACAAAGCCCGCGCCATCGCCGGGGCACACTCCTCTCTGCTCAGGTACGCATCATGCTCGACGTGGCCTTCCTCGGTTCCCCTCATCCAGGCGCACTGACCCCTGTGCTGACCGGCTCCCCCCCCC